ACCACAACCTGAGTAAGGAGGAAGCTACAACGCCTTTAGGATGTGGTCTAGGGAGCCACACACTATCATTTCCATGATATTCTATTTATTTAGAGGGAAGCGATTAAATCTAAAGGGGAATCTCTTAAAGGAAAGAAAGAGTATCAAAGAAAGTGTTAGCATATTTTAAAATTCTTATTTTCTCTTTAGAAGTATGAGTATCTTTTGGATGTTGGAATAAAGGTGGCAAATTTTAAACAAAAAGCAGGAAAGCACATATCCTAATTAAGTTTTGATAGACTTTATTAAAATTTAACAGCTTTTAGACTTTAACACCTGAGAGCAAGTGAAAGTTAAAAACCTGAAGGAAGAGAATCAAAATACAGAGTGGAAAAGGACATATGAAGAACTCCTATTAACCAACAGAAAGACCCAATAACTTAGGAGATAAGTAGACAAGAAGAGGCACATAAAGTCAATAAACCTATGAACAGATGTTCACCATCAGTGTTCATCAGGGAAATGTACACTATGAACATAATGAAATATAAACTTCACATTCATTTTATTGAGAAAACTTTGAAAATCTAGTATCAAGTGCTAAAGAAGATGTGAGTTTACAGAAACCTGTATCCTACTTGCAGAGTATAAACTGATGCAATTACTGTGAAAAAAACAGTTTTCTGAAACAAAAACGTAAAGAAACAAGATCATTTCAAATAGTGATAAAAATACCAAAGGAAAATTAATGCAGTGATGGGAGGAGAGTAGCTGGCAGAGAGGAAGGGGCTACCTTTATAAGGGGTTGTGGGAATAGAGACAAATTAGTGAATCATTGAATATCAAGGAGCCAGACATGCATTTGGGTATAAATGGTTATTTTGTTCCAAGTTTTCTAAAGTCTGGTTAACAGTTTCTTGTTTTTTTTCTCTTTTCAGAATTTTTCGATATTTCTTTTTTACCACCCTATTTTCCATGAAACTGCTGGGCTACTTGATTTTCCATATAAGTTTTATAAATCCAGACCTCCTCATTAACATACTGCCCAAATTACTGAGCAGGGACATCATGTGGAGGCTCCGATGCCTCCTCTTTCCAGCTCTGACACTTGAGACAGAGGACATATTACCTCACTAATCCTCAAGAAATATCCTTGAACAAAAGGCAAGTGGCAACTGTCTGCAGACTACATGCAGGAACTACGTGCTAGATGGAAAAGGTCCTCTTCAGTTTTTTCCCCTTGAGATTTGCCTACTTGATTATCTTCCTTCCCCAGGTTCTTTATGAGATTAACTTTGCCCAGTAAAAAGCTCTGTCAATAAATTTCTGTGACTATATGGATAAGCTTCATAATACCAGATAATTATAATAAAACACTTGGTCATTTTTGAAATAATGTTATATATGATAAGCAAAGTTTAAAATGATTCTGCTAGTGAATCTTAAACACCCAAGAAACAGGATCTTTGTCATGGAGGAAGACTATTCACTACTTTTAATGGAACTCACTGTTTGCAGATGACCTTAAGCTTAAGCCAATTTACAAACTTACAGCAAAAAAAAAAAAAAAAAAAAAAGTTTCATCATAGAACCTAAAAGAAGCTGGGTTTTCAATGGCTAACTCCAGAAACCTAAAAGAAATGTCATTGAGGATTTTTAAAAATCTTTCTTTCTCTCTCTCTCTTACTCACTCAAAGGACATTCCCTTAGTGCCAGATGCTACCCTCAGCCCAAATTCCTTACTACCACATCAATAATCAGCAGAATGAAACAGTCTTCTCCAACAGCTCCAGAAATATGTCCAGAATAGCTGGACATATTAGCTGGTTTAGCTGAGTCAGCTGGCTAAATAGCCTACTATCAATGTGGCCAATGATGACAGTACTCGGATTGGTCCACCATGAATTCTCAGATTAATATTTAATCTTTTTTAAGAGATGGTGGAGATAAGGAATCAAGACAGAGATAAGGAAGAGAGCCCATTTAAACTATAGAGAATATTTTTACCCACAGAGAACAGGGCTTAGTTCCCAGGGAAAGAGTAACAGACAGTGAACAGGACTTACACTACATATAAACAGGCAATTAAACTCTTAAAACTTACTTTGTACATCTTCCTACCAACAAAAATTATAATTTCTCAAGATCATGGAGTGAGATATTAGAAAGCCACTGCAACGAACATACCAGAATAGCCAGGGCAAAAGCAAGGATTCTTAAGTAGCATACGACTGATATCAACTGCTCACAAACCCTGGGTAATCTACCTAACAGTTAAATCTCTTATTGTTCCGATTGTTTGCTGAAACATCCACATGCCTTATTGATAATATGTAATCAATTCCCTCTTAAAGCTCTCCCTCCCCCCTACACTCTCGGGAGCCTTACCAGCTCTGAATTTTAAGAGCAAGGAGGGGTCATCGGGACCTGGACACCAGCAGGGAAAGATATCTCAGATTCCTTGGCCCCTGTCATTCCTTCTTGAGGCCACACGATGTCACTGTTGAAAATTAACCCTACATAGGTTGATCAAAGAATTTATTATCCAAACTGAGACACATCTGATAGTAGAAAAAGATCCTATTAATAAATATTCCAGAATAACAGAAATCAAACAGGACAATTTCAGCAAACTGAAACATATGGTTATCTTACATGCAATCCAAAATCCTATTTACACTGGGTATTTTGCTAAGGCATGTGGGTCCCATTCTTTATAGAGCTAAAAAGGCCCCATAATTAGGGTTCCAGTGCCAGAGCTCTTTACATTCACTTCCCCAGCCCTCTGTGTTGTAGTCAATTTGCTAGAGAATCAAGGTTGATTCTAGTTTCTTCCATCCTCACCGTTGTCTCTTCTCGAATCCCTTCAGTCTGGGAAGTCAGCCTATTTGAAAGGCTATCCCTCTGGAGCTCTGGAATCTTTCCTTTTGAAGACTCTTGAAACATATGGACCAATGATAAACTCCAATGGCCACACCTTCCCTTACAGGCACTTTCCAGGCTTTTCTGGAACTTCTGCCCCTGGAGTAGAGAAATATTAGTTCACTAAAAGACAGGTTTGATCTGCCATTCTTTTCTATGGTTAAACCTGGATTTCCTAAGCTGGTATCACCTAATCCACTTAAGCATCTACATTTTTTTTTTTTTTGTAACTCTTCACAGGCTTTTTAATTTAATTTTATTTTATAACAGTTTATTTTTACATCATTTTGTACTTTTTTAAGCATCTACATTTGAAGATAATTATCATTGGGAATGATAAGTTCATATTCTGAATTCAAAAAGAGAAGAGAAAAATACAGCTTTTAAATTCCAAGTATAACGTGGTTTTCGGGTTATCCTTGGGAAGGTGGGAAGGACAGACAGGTGACACAGCAGATGCACATAAGTCCTACAATAATAAATTGGAGGAGGCAGGGATTCCCATACTTATGTTCAATAGGAAGTGACATCAGATCCACATTTCATGCAGTCTGGGATAGGTAATGACATGTCATGCACAAAATAAGCTGACCATCTTTACTGAAAAATTAAAAACATCTCTGCCCATTGAATCGAAACACTCCCCAAATGAGCAATTTCCTTAATCTTGTAAATTGCCTAGAGTTGTAAATTCTTAAGCCCAGGCTTCAAAGAAAACCAAATCTCTCCCTCCTAGCAATTATTTGAGTAATTCCCAAACACCCATAGTCCAACAAGTTGTTCACTTTCCACACTTAATGGAAATCGTTTCCATTATGTCCATAAAGACCTACCCTTTGGCCCTCCCTCGTGGCACAGTGGGTTAAAGCACAGCACTAAGAAGCTAAAGCCACTTCAGCATGAGTTCAATCCCCATCCTGCACCCCACATGGTGCAGCAGACCTCTCCTGACCCTCTCACTGCTCCCCTCAGGAGTGTACTTCATCAGTTGGCCTGTTCTGCTCCCCACTCTGTCTCTGGCGAATCCTCTCACTGCCCCTGCACCTCTGGCCTATACCCCAGTTCTATATGCATTAATAAATAAATGTTTAAAAAAAATCTAACATTCATGCACTACTTATTTCTGCACTGAATGGCGATCCCTTCAATCTGGCCATTGCTTTCTGCTGCACGGCCAATGCTGCATTGTACTGGAATTCATTCGTGGTAGGAGCCAAGATAGGTGTGGTCAGTTCCTTGTACCACCATCCTTCCACGTGATAGAGTGAACACCACTTTCTAAACTCATGAATTTGAAACTTAGAATCATGGGGGGGGGGGAGTACTTTCACACATTGTGGTTTCTTTATTTTTAGAAAGCTTTTTAAAATTTTCCTTTCATGCATATTTCATGATTCCTTACTGTATTTTCTCTGCAGTAGCTAAACAGAATAATGCTGAGAAAACAGTTCAGAAGTTGTTGTAGAGGATGCAAATCCCTAATGCCAGCTGCAAATGCACCGGTTTTCCCCTTTTGTTGTTTAAAGATACTGTTCATTGTATTCTTTGGAGTTATATTAAGAAGACAATAATACCTAAGAGGAAATATTCAAAGCACAGTTGTCCACACTAGTAAACAAGGCCAGAAGAAACAAATAACATTCCCAGAAGGTAGAGAAAATCTGCAAAAGTGTTCACCATGTAACTCATTACTGGAGAGGGAGATTCTGTGTTAATTTAGATGGTTTTATACAAAAAAGAAGGAGATGAGGAAGGGAAGGAGAGGCCAGGGGAAGCAAACAAACAAAATGTTGATCCCCACTGGTGTAAACTTTTGACAATGAAATGCTACTTTGTGTGATCATTTCATCACAAATACTAACTATGCTTCCTTAAAGTGATTAAAAACCTTTAGTTTTACAATACAGAGAATTGGAATTTTTGTTTTTTAAAGATTTATTTATTTATGCTTATAGAACTAGGGTCAGACCAGAGGTGTGGTGGCTGAGAGGATTCACCAGAAACAGAGCGGGGAAGAGAACAGGCAGATCTACTGAAATACACTGCTGAGGGGAGCAGAAGGGGGGTCAGGAGAGGTCTGCCACACCATGTGGGTCACACCATGGGGAGAAGGGAGGGGGGCTGCAGTGGCCTTGGAGAGTGGTGCTTTAACCAGTTGTGCCACCAGGGGGAGGCCAGAATTGGAAATCTTTTAAAGACAAGATTCAATGGTGAGAATCACTGAAAAATTCTTTCTGCTAAGGAGCAAAACTAAGGGAAGTTCTGTCTTTGCAGTGAAAACTGGAAGGGGAGCATTCATAGGTAGCATGGAATCAGAACCTGTCTAGAAACGTGCAGGGGGGTTAAGCTGCTGTTCACTAAGGTGCTCTGCTGGGTATTCGTAGATAAATCAGGCCCTCACTAGCCTCCCGGTGCCTTGAAACCCTGCCCCTGGCACAGCAGCTAGCTTTAACTCCCAGAGTGGTGTCTGCCCTCTCTGTTCCCACAGGAAGAGGAGAGGGCACTAGTCCAAGGTGTCAGGGAATCTCCTCAGAAGCAGCTCTTCACACATGAAATGATACTCCTGCTTAACACAGAACCAGATCAAGGATGGTCCAGATCAAGCCAGATCAAGCCTGTCCCACTGTTCACAGGCTCCTAGGTCAGAGCCAGATAGGGACATCAAGGGTACAGACCACATAGAACCCTATGCCTCCACCTATAACTACAACCTGCTTAAAGTCTTCAGAAAATGTGTCCTGAGTGGAAGGCTGTCATTACAGTCTCTGTCCTTCTACTTGTGTCCACAGTGAAGCAGACTTCCCAAATTAAATCTCATTCTACAGTGCTACTCATGCTAGGTTTTACAATTATATAAACTTTAAATTCATGGAAGCAGAGGAAAAGGGTTCACACTGCAGACACTGAGTCAAACTCACCCTTGGTGGTGCTCACTTTTCCTTTTCAAAGTTCCTTCTCCTCCCAACTCTTTCTTTAATCAACCTACTTTCCTCTTCTCCCACACAGCTTTGGGATGGGGGAAGTACTGCCACACCATTTTATTTTTCTCACCTCTGGGATAATATTGTTCCATTTGGCAAAATCGAAACTTGGGAATTAAGAGTACATTAACCTGAGTTCACCCTAACACATACACTAAGATGTCTCAGGGGACCCAAAAAGAACATGGCATGACTTGGTCATTTCACTCCCCAGCTCTTTATAAGAGACATATA